TTATTTTCTAAAGTACGGCTTCATTAGGCTGGATACCGAAAAACCAGACAAAGGGGTGATTAAGGGCACCCCCAGGACCTATACCAGCGAATAGCCGAAGTGACTCAGATTTGCTACTCAAGGCATCCAGGGACTGCTACTTCCGAAGCCCGGTCAAGGCACGAAGCTCTTAGGACTCAGGTGATTTCGGACTGCTATGTAGGCAGTCATCAACAAGGACGTTGCATATACTCAGAAATAAGGAATCGACGGAGGAGTCATTGAACGTACACCAGCTGAAGCTAGGAACCTATCGTATACTCAAACGCAATCTCTTAGGCGTACCCCTTAGGGGCATGGCCCTCTGAATATATGTTGAGCACGGCGGCTTGCGCCCCTTACGGGGTTTCACTATACCACCAGAAGCCTACAGCATCCAGTGTCCTGTCTTCCGCAGCAAGACGAGCACGAAGCTTGTATGCTGCATCCACACCCGACCAGAAGGTCCGGTCAACGCACAAAAGGGTGGATGCCGCCACCCCATTAAGCATCGCAGGAAAGCCTACCGAACGGACGATGATTTAGGGTATCGTCAACCCCCTAGGCAAGAACCCTAGCCTAGCGCACACCGAGCAGTGCAGGCCTGACCCCCTAAGGATTAGGGGCCGAGGCCCTAAGCTAAGGGCTGGGCTGAAGCCGCAACCGTTTAGCTTACCCCAAAGAGCCAGCGGAGCGCCACCGTAGAATAGCCGTCAACGGAAACTAAACCAACCTATACTGCTATCAATGTGCCCGTAAACAGCCGAATAGGGGCTGCCTACAGCTGTGAAGGGGGCTGGATTTGAACCAGCAAGCTCAAGCGCAACCAAGAGTCTCCCAGCCAGCTTCTCCCATCCTCGCTGACCCCCCTCCCGGTAGGCTATCTGCGGCGATATATTCCTCGTTTCAGTCAAATAGTCAAACCCCTAGAGGATTATAAGACACTGTTGTTGAAGGACAGTCCCAGCTTAGGAGGACCCAAGCGGAAGAACTACTCCCTAAGGAGAGAGCTTCTGGAAGCTGGTCCTGCTGAAAAGGAAGCCTTCGCGCAGTTGCAAGCGATCATATCCAAAGGCCTCTTCTTATATCATCAAGATGTGACCAAGCCATTGCTGGTTAACGTTGATGCTTCCAAGGAGTATGGCTTTGGCGCAATGGTATACCAAGCTCGAGAAGATTGGGCGGGATATGCCAACAACGATTT